GTTTGGAAGGCACAATTTCCCCAACTGTCCCACCTCTCCCCCCAGCTAATTTCCCCTCTGGTCCCTTATCCCAGGCTTGCCTTTTCTCTCCAGAAACATCCAAAGCCAATGAATTATTAGCTCTGAGATTGGGCCTGGGCCACTGAGAATTCTGGTTGTCACAGACGGATAGATGAGCTTATTAGAGAAATCATTCCTAAAGGCTCTTTCAGAAATGACACAAAAGGGTCAGAACAAGGAGCATGTTGGCCACCTCAGGCAGCTCAGGGCTCCAAGGCAGACCATACCACCTATACTTGGTTAAGTATTGCAGTCTCCTCTCACTGATTTTCTGTCCTTGATTAAGAGAATTGAAGTCAATAATGTCCCAGTTCATTTTTTCCTGTTTTAGAAAGACCTTTTGAAAATACATTTGAAAATTGTTATCCTTGCTTCTCTTTAAGGCTCTGAATCTCCATCTAGATGGATCTAATCTCAGACATTGTGCAGAGCTGGATATGTTTTGTAAAGGCAGTGGCAAGGTTTAGAATGAGTATCTGGTTATGGGTGGCAGTCCCTATCAATTGTTTTGCCCTATAAGAAACAGGATTTGGGGAAGAGGGAGAAGCCAATAAGCAAGCCAAAAATATAACCACTGTATTTGTACAGCGCTTTGTATTTTTCAAAATATTTTTGCATTTGTTATCTTATTTGATCCTCACGACCATCTGGTGGGGCAGATAAGGCAAATCTCCATCCAACAGTTGAAGAGAGGTCACAAAGCACAGCAGGGACAGAATGGCCTTAGAATACAAGTCTTCTTGGGGTCTGGGACCAGGATTTACATCGTAGAGATTACCACATCCTTTGTCAAACCAGGGGGGGTTGATATGCAGATGTTTGGGGTGTCCGAAGGGAGAGAAAGGAAAAAAACACACATGAAAAAGACCAAAATACATTTTAACTGGTATCAAATCATGTTCAAAAGTGATTCTGCTGAAATGCCTTCTCAATTATCTGCCTTCTCATCTGAAATACAGCAGCCTCCTCCCTGTTTTGACTTTTTTATTGCCACACATCCTGTTCCCAGATTCTGTCTAAAGACTAAACACTTGCTTTATTAACTCTGAACTTCGATTGCAAGGTAAGGAATGGGAGGAAAACAGTACTGCCTTTCATAGCCCTCCACAAATGACATGCCTGAGAGGAAGACGTTTTTTATCATTTCTAAATTGGGCTGACATCAGTGACACATGGCACCACTTTTGGGAAGCCAGCTCTTCCCCTTACTAGAAAGTGAAAATATTATGCTTGTTCCATTTTCCTGTTTTCCAAACTGCTGGTACAATCCATTACGAAGTTGTAAAAACAATTTGGCTGGCTATGACCAGCATTTAAAAAAATATACCAGAAACTCAGTGCAAATAGAGCTGAACCCTGAACAACATAGGTCTGAACTTTGTGGGTCCACTTATATGTGGATTTTTTCATCTTGTAAACAGATGATGTAAACTTACAGTATCGATACAGTACAGTACTGTAAATGTATTTTCTCTTCCGTATGGTTTTTTCTCTAGCTCACTTTATTATAAAAACACAGTATAAATACATATACAAAATATGTGTTAATCGGCTATGTTATTGGTAGGGCTTCCAGTTAACAGGCTATATTAGTAGTTAGGTTTCGGGGAAGTCAGAAGTTCTATGTGGAATTTCAACTGCATGGGGAGAGTCAACACTTCTAACTCCCACATTGTTCGAAGGTCAGCTGTAGTAAGCATGAGTTTTACTTTGGACATAAAATTATGTTGTTTTTATGCAACTGTGTACTGGGTTGTACCATTTTATACTTCTTACAGTGAGTTAGAGCAAAACTTTGGAAAGCCACTTATGTAGAGGATGCATATACCTCAATCCTGTCTCTAGGCTGTATCCTAAGATTCTCCACTTGACATGTTATTTCAATAATACTCGACATTTCTCTACTTTTTAGTGCTTCTCTAGGAAGACTGACCTATATAGCCCACTGATAGTCACCGAGAAATCTTTTGTACAGAAAGCTGCATTTGGCAAAGGGCAAATATTAATAGAATACAGCGGAGTTTGGTAGCATTTTGGTGAAATGTTTTTATTGTATAGAGCCAACTGTTAAAAACACACACACACACACACACACACACACACAAATACGCCCTACCATTTCTGCCTAAATATGTTACAGTTGTTATGTTAAAGCACATCTATATTTTTCTACCTTATAATAAATGTTATAACAAAAATAAAAAAAAAATAAATCCCCCTCTATCAAATTTTCTACCTCACTAATTTCAGGCAAGTCATTCCAACAACATTCCAGATTAAAAGAAATCATACTACCTTCTTGGCTTTTGACTTTTGTTCCTTTCTCAAACACTGCACTTACCCTTTAACCTCATTGTGACTATCTTTTTAAACACACCATACATTAAGTAGTTTTCAAAAACTAGGAAAATGTTATGATTCCTATTCACCAAGGAACATGCAGGCTTAAAAATAGGGTCTGTGGCTCTTCCAGACACATGAGCTAGTCATGAAATACCAATAACATGGTGACAGAGTTTGAGTCATGAGTTATTAGTCTCAAGATTATAGCCTTTTGCTTCCACTAATTCTTACGAATTCATACATAAGTTGATTCTTAACCATTTTTATCCATTGTATTTCATCAATCCAAGAGGCCATTGATTATTAAAAAAATCAAAAGACCTTAAAACAAACTTGAAAATCTTATCAAGGCAAATTTTATTTTTTTTCAAGTTACAAAAATATGTGCATGTCAAAAATACAGTCTAGTCCATATAAGAGTAGTTCCAGCCATTTAAAAGTTATAGTTTGGAAAAAGCAATTAATATACAATTCTTAAAACATATAATCCATTAATAGTATATAACCACTCAATTCAGTTATTGCTTATTGTATGCAGCTTTTATTTGAGATTGCTCTTCATAAGGAAAAGGACACAGTTTGGGCACTCTGATTGTTGTTGCTAAAGCTGTGGTTTTAAAAAGCCAATCCACTCAGAATAAGCTCACTTTGAATAAAATATAATGCATACGCTTTGATTAGTACAAGAAGGAGTGCTCTAAATTTCAGTTCTACCCCCTTCTCCTATTTAATTCTATTTTGTTAACATACCAGAAATATTAGTGTAAAGTTTGGGGCAAGAGTAAATGAATTACTGGTTTTTTAATGAAGTGATAAGAAACACTGAGTTGCAATGTAGAAGCAAACCTGGCACATCTAGTTTAAAAGCCTTAAAACAATAAATTCAAGAATGGAAAAACGTTTAAAGTTTAACTAAAAACCAAAGCTCTATTTATTTCTCTTTAGACATCGAGACATTCGATGAATCAATTTGTTCTTTTGAAGTTTAGGGGCTTATGGAGATCTGCTGCTATTTTCTTGTTAAAAAAGACAAAGAGCCACATAACAGGAACATGTTTTAAAACAAATTTGCTCACAATGCCATATGGAAGAACAAATCATAAAATTAAATATTTTATCTTCAATAAAAAATAACGCAGTTGATGGTGTGACACACAGGAAACAAGTCACTTACTTTGGGGGTGGATAATATATAGGAGACTTTTGGCCTGAAGTTCACATGGAAGACTTAGAAGTTAAGGGTGTGAGAAAGAGATAGCAATGGCTTTGTTTCCAACTTTCTGTCAGACCTTGCTATAGGGTCAGGTTTATTGCTGACATTTTACCCCCCCCCCCATAAGTTCTTGAATATTGAGATATATATTGATAATGAGGTAAACTGGAAAAATCTTTAAAAATCATTTTTAGAACAAAAGTGACACTTGTGACCATTTGGCAATGATATTACCTTAATGACTTAAATCCTAAAAATAGGCTATATTTGGACGTGGTTCCATAGTGTAGCAGTTAGCATGTCTGCTTTACACGCAGAAGGTCCTGGGTTCGTGCCCCAGTGGAGCCATGGTCCATGGTCTATGGCATGCCACCCTGAACAAGCCCGACGTCTGATCTCGGAAGTTAAGCAGGGTCGGGCCTGGATAGTACTTGGATGGGAGACCACCTAGGAAGACCAGGTGCTGTAGGTGTAAATCATAATAATAATAAAATAAAAATAGGCTATGTTTTTAGAAGGTAGAAAACAAGTACCAAAAGCTTTTCATTTGGCCACTCCACCTAACTTTTGGCCAACCTTGGATTTTTGTATTTCTCACTCCTCATTCTCCCATTAAAGCTATTGGTCCCACAACTATTCATTGCCTAAAGATGTAAACCTGGAGCTGCCAAAAAAAATCTTTTAAAGAAGTTTTGCTTTGAAGTCACTGAATGTATCCAATGTTCATGTATCAACTAAGAATATTTTAGACCTCTCTAGTAGATTCACTTCCTAAGAACACGTCAACATAAAAAACAGTACTTAACAAAAAGACTACTGAATATCTCTACGTGTAATTCTAATTATGTCAGAGTAGTTATGCAGACCTACATTAGTAATGCTTTCATTGGACTGATTTGAAAAACCTTATACTTAAAGTGTATTACCAGTGTTTACTGAAAATAGGTATGTGCTCTAACGCAAAATTAACCTAACAAGAACAAAAACTACTGCACTTTCTCCCAGAGTGTTGTTGTGCTGATATCCCATAGACAGTATTATAAAAGGGCTTCATTTTTGCGATACGCTGGGCTCACAGTGAGTATATCAGTACAGAGATCACGGGTGTATAACATTACTATTAGAACGTTATTAGTGAAATGTATATAAGGCATGTAAAAAACTATCATTAAAGCTCTTAAGGGCAATGACCCAAACTGGCAGCTGCTAGAAAAGGTGCTGCTATGAAAACAAATTTTAAAGAAATCAGCATGTACTAGTTTATAGTGCTTCCACAATGAAATGAATTAATTCACATAAATTTGTGTTGCTGGAACTAATGGACCAAAGGAGAATGGACTTTTGCCCCCTTTAGCTACTAGCCCAATCTTGAAAACGGAAGCAATCACTTGCAATCTTCCACACAAAACTTCACAGTTCCACTGGTCACAACAAGAACTGTAGTCTGGGCCTGAGTCGCTTGCTCTTCACCCACACACAAAAAAAGAAAAGAGGTTGATTTCTATCTCTAAATAAGCAGATTTTCAGGCTTAAATTGCATTGCTTTGAACCTAACACTAAACAAGAGTTTCATAAACTTTCTTTACTTTGAGCATGCTCATGAGCATGCACGCCCAAAGCCAGAAAACTAAATAATCATTTCAAAGATTCTAAAATTATTTTCCATCCAGAAAAATGTTGGGTACTCTATAGTTTTAAAATAAAGAGCTTATATTTAGCATAGGATGATTTGGTTCCTGTATATTAATATTTCGTTGGGTTTCTAACAGAACATTTTCCTATTTTGCTTAAGCCACTATTCTTTTCAAGAACTATAAAGGAAAAAGAAATCACCCTGAACTACTATTTAAGTACTTAGGGCCCACCTAAGTCAATCTTAAAAACGGCATCGATCTACCTTGAATCTAATTCTGTCTCGCCAAAAGTCATCCTTTCACATAACAGAGTAAGTTTCTTTTGTGAAATTTTAATAAGTTGTAAGGTAATCGGAGATATGGCATAATTTTTCTCTGGAGACATTCAAGGCACAGAAAGCAGCTATTTAGAGAAAATAGGTAACTGCTCCTCTCCATTAAAAAAAATCACACTTCGTCTCGATTTCACACATAACTTTTAATAAGCAATAATCACATAATCCACCAAAACTTACTAGTGAGCCACTGGAGTGAGACAGATCTAAAGACAGACCAAAAGTCTGACAGCTGAATTTTTCATAATACTGGATTTGCTCAGAAAAGTATACTCCTACCACTAAAAGTTGCTTGCTGCTTCTGGTGTTAAAACTCAGCGCGAACTAAAGGAAAACAAAGGAAGTACCTTGAAAGACCATGATCTTACCATGAACTGGTTGGCAATCTAACATATTGACCTGGAATTCACTAGAAGGTAACACATCAAAAAAGTTAGCTAGGGCTTCCAGGCCTGTAACAACATTTCCATTCCATATTAAAGTGGCCTTGTCCAGATAGAGCCTGGGCAGTGCCTACAAAGAAAGAAAATATAAAAAAGGAAATATTTTTGTTTCTGGGTAAGCATTTTATAGAAATGAACTGAAAGGTTACAGGTGGTATATAAACATTTTCATTGTTCAACTTCCATCTCTACTCCCCTGCCCTCTTCCACTGGAAGACAACGTGAACAAGATGTCTCCCTTATAATCTTGGCCTTAAATAGATATTAACCTACTCTTAATAAACTAGGAACTAAATATACTTTTTCATATTTCTCTTTAGCTACAATGAGAAAACTTTACATCCAAACTGGAAGCGAGTTTTAAATTTTTGCTTTCTGTATTAAAAAGAATTAAATGCTCACAAGTATCAGGCACCTGCAGCCCAAAACCAGTTTTAGTCTCCCTCCCTTTTCTAATTCTGAGAACTAACAAAGTTATTAATCAGGCCCTACCTATCACTTCAATCCTAGTATTTATATACATGAGTCATTTAATGTTTGAACCATTTAATGTTGTATGTGTCAGGAAGTAGTAGTTCCTTTTACCACTACCACATATTTAGTTCCAAAGAGTCACAAGTACTTGCTAAAGCAGAGTTTTTGATAAGTCAAATAATTTAAGGCTCTAATAAGGCAAAATTCAACAGTTAACTTTTTCGTCACAGGAGTTAGTCACAGAAGCTTAATATGCCACAAGACAGATCATTTGCTAAATTCTAAAATTTGTCTCGGATTAAAAAGCCAACACATACCTTGACTCTGGTAATGAACTATGTTGCCTTGCTTTTTTTTGCTACTTTACTTTGGAAAGCAGCAAGGCACAATAAACACCCATTATCATATCCCTTGCCCCTGTCTCATGTCATCAAACATCAGTACTAGGAACTTCTTTTATCTTCTGCCTTGAAAAAAAGTTTTTTAGAGATAAGAATTTCTGTACCTGCAGCACACAGAAAGTTCTCTAAAATACAGTCGTCTGCTGATAAGAGACCTAGGCAAGACTCAAGCACATACTGAAATTACTTAGAAGATATGGCTCAGGGATAAATCGCAATGAAAAAAAAAAACAACTGATGAAGTGAGAAGTTGCTTTGTTGAAGACTAGAAGTATCCAAGCCATGTGGACTCTGTGAGTGCCAGCTACAGCTGTGAGCTTTAATCAGAAAGTATCTATTAATATGCAATTAAAGGGACAAATCAGGGAATATTCCTTGTAATGGCAGATCCCTTCACTAGTACAAATACTGTTTTAACTAAATTAGTTAAATGATGGGACTGAGAAAATATAACATATTTAAATAAATCCATGTTAGGTCCTATGTTAAGTGCAGTATTTCAGTTGAGTCTCACTACCATCTTAAAAATAAAATGAGGTGAAGAGAGGTTAGCAACTTGCCCAAGATCACAGAGCTACATACACACAAAGCTGGTATGTGACTCCAGAGCCCACACTTCCATAATACCTTACTAGCCCTTCCTTAAGCAATGCACTTTTAAAGAACAAGTCCACAGTTAGCACTTTTGCAAGTCAGATGAATGGCTGGCTTAAAAAAAACCTGGTATTTAATAAAGAGTAGTAGAGTCTATAACACTCACCCGTCTTCTTTTGTCCATTGTCTCATAGTAAATATTGACAAATTCTTCAGCAGCTCTACATGCCTGATCTACATAAGTTTTAAAATCCTACAAGAAAAATTTCAGAAGTGTGCATTATCACCCCTCCGACCCCTCAAAAACACAAAACCAGCAACAGAGCTAATGGTTTATTTCAAACACTTCATAGCTCCATACACAGTTCACATTCTTCCATATAAATTTGGACATGTTAAAGGTTAGAGCTCAAAAGTTTCCATTTCTAAAAATTTTCACTATTTTTAGGTACACGTTTAGGACATACTCATCCCTTGTTAGTGAATTTGATTTTTTTTCTCACTTCTAATATAAATTTGTAATCTTTCCTTGGCAACTGGTACTTCAAGTACTTTAGGCTTTCAATATTTTACAAAATATTCACTTTAAAAAACGCTGCACCTTAAAAAAAAACGGGGGTGAAGGATTTGCCATTGAATAAGTTAGGAAAGCGTTGAGTTCTCTTTTCAAGCGATAAATTATGGCCAAAAGCAAAAGTTGTTGAATGAAAGAAAAAAAAAAAAAAGAATAAGAATAAAGTTCAATGAACTACTTGAAAAACTCGGTACTTAGAAAACTTTCACACACCACATAAAAATTCACCGGCGCTTGTAAAGAATTGTAAAACTGAAGAAAAGAAACGCTGTTGGAGTTTTCTCCTTCAGGAAGATTAAGAATCTTCTTCCCCATCTATTTACCGAGTCCAGCCTATTAATCGAATTAAGAACCCATTTCATTTCTTTTTTAGGTAACCAAAAGTTAGAGGAAGATGATAAAGAAAAGGAGACTGCAAGTCATAAACAACAGACCGCAATATTCCCGCCTTTCGCTAGTTCCCAGTTCACGGTCCTTTCCATCACCGAAGAAGATCTGCACGGCTGCTGCGGGTCGTGCGTTGGGTGGGAGTTGGGGGTCGGGAGGGTAGGCATGGAGGGGGTCTGCAGAGAGCGGGCCCCGCCCCAGAGCCCGGCGAGCCAGGCCCTGATTCGCCACTTAACCACGTGATCTGCAGCCAGGCCCCCCGCATCCCTCCCCTCAGCCGCTAGAGCCAGGGCGCCCGAGCGCCCAGGCGCCCGCCGCGCAGTCCCGGCACTCACCACAGCCATGGCCATCTGGGAAGCCGATGTAGTCAGTTCTGACAGTGGCGGCGTCTCCACGTACTCACGTGTCCGGCTCCTGCCGCTGTGGGAGGACCAAATATTTAGGATGGCAGCGAAACCCGCCAAACACACGGAATTCTCTACCCGCCCATTCTCTCCCGGAAGTAGCTTGGTCCGTTGTTTAAAGGATCCCTATGTTTCAACCTTAAGTCGCTTCCCTTCAGTTCCGACCATCACCTCCCCTCCGCTTTATATATGCACTTGTTTGGTATTTGTTTACTTAGTTTGGAGGAAAAAAATTACTTTGCTTTTGCTTAGATATTCAAAGTATCCACACTTTTCCTACCACGCACCCTCGGACAAGCAAAAAAAAAGAATCTGTCTAAAAGATCCACTGGGGAGACTTCTTTGCTTTTAAAGGCGGGGCCAAGGCAAGCTGAAGACCAATGAGAAACGCGACAAAAGACCCACCTGCACGGCAGGCTATTGGAAAAAAGGGTGGAGCTTGGAGAAGGGTGCGCAACCATACTGCGCATGACTGAGAGAGAACAGTTTAGAGTTCTGGAACATTCTGGAAAAATCGATCCTCAGTGAAATAAACCCCCATATCTCAGTAGTATATTTAAGATTATTCACTATTTGATTTCGCACTATTCTGTGGAAACGGCTCATCCAGTTCCTCCATTCTTATGGACCTAAAACGAAAATTAGACTACAGCGACATTCTAACAATAGCTAGTCTTTTACAGAGTGATGACAACGAGCAAGGTACTTTTCTAAGCACTAACCCATATTAACTTATTACTTGCAATAATGCTAAGAGGTAATCATCTCCATTTTATAGTTAAGACAGAGTGACAAATAACCTGTTAAGGTCATAAACTAGTTGCGATTCAAGCTGAAGCAATTTAACTACCCCTGCAATCTGACTTAACTCCCCAGCACCCTTTAAAACCGCTCACCCCAAAGCCACCAACTTCCGGAAGTTCAAATCAATTACACGTCTCTACAGTCTTACCGTGCGTAGCTGGTTTCCCGCTCCTGAAAAAATGGTCACTCCTTCCTTGGTACGGTCCTCTATCTCCCTGAAACCAGTCTCATACGTTCAATCTTTTTTTACCCCCTGGCTCTCGTCCTTTGCCCTAGCTCTAACTACAGCTATTTCTCCACGTACTACGTACTACGTCTCTCCTCGACTCGCGTCTTAGTGGCACCACTTCCGGGGGTGTCTCCCATTTAAAACCTTCCCACGTGGTCTCGATTGTTACTTGTATGCTAATGAATCTCAGTCCCACAAACTCCAGCCTCACCGCTTTTCTGAGCTCCAATTCCGCATATCGACTTTTGTGAAATATGAACACCAGAGTGCACTACAGCCTTCTCAAACTCATAGAGTCCAAAATTTAAACTCGTTACCTCTGCACTAACAATCCTCTGTATTCTTTCAGTCATCTGTGCTTGAATTCTTGGAATCTTTTTTTCACTTGGTTCCCATCATCATGATTCATTCATTCAGCAAATATTTAAGAAGTGCATGTTATGGGCCAGGAACTGTACAAGGTTCTGGATATAGGCTGGTGAACAGAATAGATGTGATCCAGACATTCATGAAGCTCACAATATAATGGGTCTGCTAGACAATAAAAACATTAATGAATTACAGAGGTGTTCCAAGTAACTTGCCCAATTCTACCCATTTTTTAAAGCAATCTCTCTCTCTCTGTCTTTCTCCTCTCTACACAAACTTTGACTTCGATCTCTCTATTCTCATTTTTCCAAAATTTTACTAATCTTTAAAGACCTATCTTGGTCTGGTCTCAGTTACCTTTCCAGACCTCTCACCCCCTTATTCATCAAAACTGGCAAAGTTAACTACTACTGTTTGCCAAAAGTGACTCATGCTTACTGCATTATAGGTGATTACTTTTCTTGATCGAGAGCTTAGAATGTGTCTGTTGTTTATTATGATTTAATTCAATCCTCTCAACCCCTGGAAAGGGAGATATTATCATCTAGATTTTTAAGAATTTAAACAGAAGTTCAAAGACGTTAAGTAAGTTGGCCAAGTTGACACAGCTAGTGGAGCTGTGATTTCAACCCATAGCTTTTAGGCACTCTACTATTGATGCATTTGTTTATACTATGCTTATTTTGGAATGTTTGTTCCCTCCATTTATACTTGCCCATTCAAGGTCAAGGGCAGGTAACTCTTCTTCTGTGAGGCCTTCCCTCATTTTATGTCCCCCAAAACCTAGAGAATAGGACTTGTCCTGTGGCTATGAGTGACTTTTGGTGTGGGGCAATAATGCTGGGGACTAGAAGAGTATTAAGAGTACTGAAAAGGGACAGTTGAGCTGGAGGTGAAGGAAAGCTTCAGAATTTTGCACTGAATGTTTGCACAAAATTTTGTGCACTTTATTGATGTGAGACTAGGGTGGAAGGCTGGGTAAACTGATAATATAGAAAACAATGATGGGCTCTGATTGCTCAGAGCAGTAAATTTGAACCTTATGAAAACTATGTCTGGCGAGACAAATGGGAACCAGATGAATAAGACACAAAATTGCTTTTTAGTGGATAACTGCACCACACGTGCAAAAAGTAGAGAGAGTGAATAGGAAGTGTGTGAAAAGGTTTTTCTTATAACACAGAATGGCATACTGGTTAAGCACATTGTTGTTGACACCAGTCTAGGTTTAAATCTTTGCCATGCCACTGAGTAGCTCTGTGATCTTGGCCAAATTACCTAAACGTTCCATGTCTCAGTCCTTCAATCTATAAAATGGAAATAATATTAATACAGATCTCATAACATTGATGTAAGAATTAAATGAGTCAATACCTAGCATAACATTTTTGCTTCAGAAATATTATTTTCATACCCACGGCAGATGAAATTATGCAGCCACCTATTTGAGAGTATAAAGTTAGGACAGATAAGATAAACTTTGATGTATTGAAAGGCATCAATACAGTTCAGGAGAGAGTTGGGGGCCCTGGGATAGAAGACTGTAGGAGCAATAAGTTGGGTTGATTAAGATTGCTTGTGGCTGTGCTGTGCAGCCATCTCTCTTCATCAAGTATAGACCTAACAGAATTAAACTTTGGAGTTACCAAACTGAAGATCCCTGTCTGAATCTTCACCTTTGATAAGGACGATTCTGTAACAATCAGGGAAGTGACCTGAACCATCAGTTCTTTCTGCTTAGGTCTCTAATTGACAACAAGCCTTGTCACATTGTCTCATGCTCCACTAAGTTAGCCAGGTGCCTCTGGCCTGTTCACATTAGATAGTGCTTTTGAAAACAGGTTTATTGAGATACAACTCATATACCATACAATTCACCCATTTAAGGTGTGCAATTCAGTAGCTTTTAGTGTAGTCACAGAGTTATGCAAGCATGACCAAGAAATTTGAGAAAATTTCAATGCCTTAAAAAGAAATCTCTTTCTCATTAAGGGTCAGTTTCCATTTCTTCTTCATCCCAGCTCCTGGCACCACCAACATATTTCCTAATTCTATAGATTTGCTTATTCTGAGCATATCATATAAATAAAAACATATAATATGTGGTTCTTTGTGTCTTGGCATAATGTTTTCAAAGTTGTGACATGCATTAAACTCCATTCTTTTTTTTAAAAAAAATATATTAGTTTCAGATATACAGTACAATGGTTAGACATTTATATAATTTATAAAGTGATCCCCCTGATCACTCCAACACCCATGTGGCACTACCTATAGCCATTATAATAATATTGACTATATTCCCTATGCTGTACTGTATATCCCCATGACTGATTCATAACTGCTCATTTGTACTTATTCATCACTTCACCTTTTTCATCCAGCATCCGACCCTCCTTCCATCTGGCAATCACTAATTTATTCTCTGTATATGTGAGTGTTTTTGTTTAGTTTGTCCATTTCTATTTTTTTAAGATACATCCTGTTTTTTTTTTTTTTTATGGTGACATTGGTTAACAAAATCCAATAAGTGTCAGCTGTACACTTTAACAGTAAGGTATACATATATTTACACTGTGTGTTCACTTCCCATAGTTAGATTTCTTTCACCACACATTTGACCTCCTTTACCCTGTCAACCTCCCCCATGACCCTCCCCTTACCCTCTGTTAACCACTAGTCTATCGTTCATGACCAGAGTCTCTGCTTATTTGTCTTGATCATTTGTTACTTTTAGGCTTATATCCCACATATAAGTGATATCATGTGGTTTTCGACTCTTTCTGTCTGGCTTATATCACTTAGCATGATTATCTCGAGGTCCATCCATGTTGTCGCAAATGGCAGTATTACATATTTTCTTATGGCTGAGTAATATTCCATTGTATATATATACAACCTCTTCTTTATCCAATCTATCGTAGGACACTTCAGTTGCTTCCATGTCCTGGCCACTGTGAATAATGCTGCTATGAACATCGGGGTGCAAATATCTTTTCAGATATGGATTTTCAAGGCTTTGGGATTAAATACCCAGTAGAGGGATTGCTGGATCATATGGTAGATTGATTCTTAGTTTATTAAGGACGCTTCATACTGTTTTCCATAGTGGTTTTACCAATTTGCAGTCCCACCAGCAGTGTATGAGGGTTTCTTTTCCTCCACATCCTCTTCGACATTTGTTATTACTTGTCCTGTTGATTATAGCTATTCTAACACGTGTGACATGGTATCTCATTATAGTTTTGATTGGCATTTCCCTAATAGCTAGTGATGTTGAGCATCTTTTCATATATTTGTTGGCCATTTGTATGTCTTTTAGAGAAAAATGTCTGTTCAGGTCTGTGCCCATTTTTTGATGGGATCATTTGTTTTGTTGTTGTTGTTATTGAGTTGTATGAGTTCTTTGTATATTTTGGATATTAGGCCTTTATTGGAGGCATAGATTGCAAATGTATTTTCTTATTTGGATGGTTGTCACTTTACCGTGTTGACATTTTCTTTTGCTGAGCAGAAGCTTCTTAGTTCGATGTAGTAACATTCATTTAATTTAGCTTTTACTTCCTCTGCCTTTAAGGTTAAATTCATAAAATCCTCTTTAAATCCAAGTTCCTTCAGTTTAGTTCCTATGTTCTCTTCTATGCATTTTATTGTTTCAGGTCTTATATTCAGGTATGTAATCCATTTTGAATTAATTTTGGTGTGTGG